GCGCGAGTCTGTAAACACCCGTAATCCCAGTGCTCTTACGGTAAGACGGGCGGTAGAGACAGGAGGGTCCTGGAAGCACACAGACCAGCTCACCTGGTGATGCGGCTGCAACAAGCTGGACGGGGCCTCGCCTCCAACAGGGTGGAAGCCGAGGCCCGACCTCTGACACTCGTGGGCCTGCGCTCGCGTGCATGAATGTGTACATCCACACGGGCTGGGATGGAAGGCATGCACCATCACTGCCCGGCTCAAAATAAATCTTTACAAATGATAAAACAAAACAAAACAAAACACAACATGGCTGGGTGTGGTGGCACACGCTGGCTGGCCTCGAACTCACAGAGATCCGCCTGCCTCTGCCTCCTGAGTGCTGGGGCTAAAGGCGTGTGCCACCAACGCCTGGTCTCACACTGTTAATCTTAGAGAGGCAGAGGCAGGAAAATCTCTGTAAGTTGGAGGCCAGCCTGGTCTACATGTTGAGTTCCAGGGCTAAATAATAAGACCCTGTCTCCAAAGAAAAAAAAAGATAAAAGTGAAATATTTTTTGGAAAGCGTTAAAAATAGATACCAGCAAGATAGTCAACACAAAGGTAACACATATAGAAATATATCATTAGGTAACCAATGCTAAAACAGGCTGCACCTCCCCCACCCCATGCACATAAATTAAAAACACCGGGAAGCGGGGAGGGCTCTGCCATGGCCCTTCCTGGTTCAGTTTGTCTTGCGGTACAAGTTGCCCAGCCCGACAGGTGGCCAGGAGTCCACCGTGCTGACTGAGGAGCGCCTGCGGCGGCTGGCTATGTTCACGGTCCTGGGGTCCTTGTAGAGTGTGTAGCCGTGCTTGACGATGAAGGGCAGAGGGGTGAGATGCAGGAGCATGCGGAAGACTTGCAGGACCAGGTACAGGCGGCCCAGGTCCTTGAACTGCTCCTTGATGGTGCCGTAGATGAGCAGGACCAGGGTGAAGCTGAGGAGTTCGTAAATGACGATCCACAGGGTGTAGGTTATCAGCCCGGTGAGCATGTTCTTGTCCAGGCAGAAGAGGAAGAAGCAGCTGATGGTGATGGTGGTGATGGAGAGGCCTATGCTGATGTTGTTCCTGTAGACCACAGGCCAGGACGAGGCCTTGGAGTCTGTGTCCAGGTAGATGCTGTATTTGTCTTCCAAGCCAATGTGTGTTATCTGATTCAGTTCAAAGATGAAGAACTGGATGGTGTTGAGGAGAGAGAAGATGCCCGCCATGGTGGATACCATCTTGGCATTCATTGTGTACCCAACTCGCCAGGGTTGGTCCTGGAGGAGAAAATCAGGGATAGACATGGTAAGAGGCAGAGCTAGCCCAAGACCCATTCCCCAAATCGCTAGGCATAAGTAGGGGATCAACGAGCAAAAAGTCTATAGACAGATTTTTCTTTGGGCCCCCAGCTCACCAAAACAAACAAACAAACAAACAAAAAACAACTGACACAGAGACTTATAGTTAATTGTGAAAGCTCGGCCTATAGCTTAGGCTTGTCCCACTAGATCTTAAATTAACCCGTATATATATATATATATATATATATATATATATATATATATATATATATCTTTTTTTTTTTTTTTTTTTTTGGTTTTTACGAGACAGGGTTTCTCTGTATTGCTTCGGAGGCTATCGGTCCAGCCCGGCCTCGAACTCACAGAGATCCACCTGCCTCTGCTTCCTGAGTGCTGGGATTAAAGGCGTGCACCACCACCGCCCGGCTTAACCCGTTCATATTAATCTGCATTTTGCCTCCTGGCTTTTTGTCTTTCTTCCATATTGCACCTCCCGGAAACCACATGGTGACTCACAACCACCTTGAATGAGATCTGGTGCCCTCTGCTGGCATGCAGGCAGAAGACTGTATATACAATAAATAAATAAAATATTAAAAATAAAGATTGGTCTGTAGGCAAGCCTGTAGGGTATTTTCTTAATTAGTGATTGACGATGAGAGGGCCCAGCCCATGGTGGGTGAGATTACCCTGGGCTGGTGGTCCTGGGTTCTATAAGAAAGCAGGCTGAACAAGCCAATAGGACAGTCAGTAAGCAGCACCCATCCATGACCTCTGCATCAGCTCCTGCCTCCAGGTTCCTGCCCTGCTTGAGTTCCTGTCCTGACTTCCTCCAATGATGAACAGTGATGTGGAAGTGTGAGCCAGATAAATTACATTGATCGTGCTATTTCATGACAGCAACAGAAACCTTAACTGAGGCATCACACATGGACACTGTGGACAATATTAAGGGTAGTTGGAACCTTTAAGAGGCATAGTGGCACACATCTTTAATCCTTCAGGAGGCAGAGGCCTGCATATCTCTGAGTTCAAGGCCAGCCTGATCTACAGAGTGAGTTCCAGGACAGCCAGGGCTACACAGAGAAACCCTGTCTAAAAAACAAACAAAACAAAAAAGGCACTGGGACACTAGCATGGGCAATTTCAAACCTTAACAAACAAACTCAGAAAATTTACATGGCAACTCATGACATCACATACATGTAGCCAGTCCAGAACAAAGGAAGGCACACTGACAAACTTAAACTTGAGGAAAGCAATGAAATGTGTACAGAGTCACGCAGATGGGCACGTCACCCAGGCTCTCCACCCAGAAACACCTAGCCATTTTTAACTGCCACCAACAGAGCTTTTCTGTCTTCCCAGCAGAGCAGTCCCTGCTCTGGAAACACACCTGTTGTGTCTTGTACAGCCCATTTCAAGACATTCTCCATGTTTGTCCCAAAGTCTGGTAAATTCTTTTACCACCCATGCACCTGGCTTTGCTGGGGTCACCCATGCACCTGGCCTTGCTGGGGTCACCCATGCATCTGGCATCACTGGGGTTTCCTCCACACACACCTGGCCTTCCTGGGGTCTCCAAAGACAACTACCATACCTGGTTAAGTTTCCTCTCCATTTTTAAAACCTGTTTTGGGTCAGGTGTGGTGGCACACGTTTAATCCTGGCACTATGGAGGCAGAGGCAGGGGCATCTTGGTGAGTTTGAGGCCATCCTGGTTTACATAGTGAGTTCCAAGCCAGCCAAGGCTGTATAGTGAGATTCTGTCTCTAAAGAAAAATGATCTGTGTCTGTGAGTGTATGCATATGTGCACATATGTGTGCAGTACCCACAGAGGCCAGCAGAAGGCATCAGATCCCACTGGAACTGGAGCTACAGGCAGTTGTGAGGTGCCTGATATGGGTGCTGGGAATTAAACTCCTGCCTTCTGCAGGAACAGCAAACATCTTAGTCACTGCGTCATCTCTCCAGCCCTCTTTTATTTTTTAAAATATTTTATTTATTTGTCTTTTTATATGTGTGTGTGCATGCGTGTGTGCGTGCATGTGTGTGTGTGTGTGTGTGTGTGTGTGTGTGTGTGTGTGTGTGTGGTGGGGCCAGACTACTACTCGTACATGTGAAGGTCAGGCGACAATGCTCTGGGAGTCAGCTCTCTGTGCACCTTGACTTTGGGTCCTCAGGCTTGGTGGCAAGCGTCTTTACTCACTGAACTATCAGTCATAGACAACAGCATAGCAACAGGCTTAGCAACAAGTTTAACAGATCCCTTTTGATTAGGCAGGTGCCTTTGACAATTTATTTCCCCTGAGACAGGGTTTCTCTGTGTAGCCCTGGCTGTCCTCAAACTCTGTAGACCAGGCTGGCCTCAAACTCACAGAGATATGCCTGCCTCTGCCTTCTGAGTGCTGGGATTAAAGGTGTGTGTCACCACTGCCTAGATGGATGCTTTTTATTTTTAAAGATGCATTTATTTTCCTTTTATATGGGTGTGGTAGTTTGTCCCGACCCGCAGGACATTCAACGTGGGTCTGGTGGACACCTAGGAGAAAGATGGAGGACAGGGGATACAGGAATGGACGCCAAGACAGGATTCTGATCAAGGCGACAACTTTATTTCATCACAAGGGGATTTATATAGGAGAACTGAGGAGGGAAAGGCGGAGGATGTGCTTGCAGCTGCAGGGGCAAGAGGTCAGTGGGAGAGGTGGTCTGCTGCGTTGCCTGGCTACCTAATCTACAGGGCAAGAGGTCAGGGGTAAGAATTCCTATGTTGCTTGTTAACCTGACAGCAGGGTCCGATCCTATCTATTACAATTTACTACTGCTCAGGCCTATCTTCTGAGGACCTTGTAGTTTTTCCAATTAAGCTAATCTTTAACTGACTGGTAAACCCCAGGCTTGTTACTTGGAATATGCTTTATGTCAGAAGGGGTGGCAGGGTGGTCTTAGTGTCACGTCTTCTCTATGAGTACGTGATACAGCCTAGCTGACTGATGGCTGGAGGTCCCTGACAGTAGTTTGTATGAGAATGCCTCCCATAGGCTCTTATATTTGAATGCTTGGTCCTCGGGGAGTGGAACTGTTTGAAAGGATTAGAAGGATTAGGAGGTGTGGCCTTGCTGGAGGAAGTGAGTCACTGGGAGTGGGCTTTAAGATTTCAAAAGCCCATGATAGACCCAGGTTCTCTCTCTGCCTGTTGCCTTTGGGTTAGGATGGAAAGTTCTCAGCTACTTCTCCAGCACCATGAGAGCTGCCATGCTCCCCACCATGATGACAATGGAGTAAACCTTGAAACTGCAAGCGCCCTCCCCTCCCCAGTTAAATGCTTGCTTTTGTAAGAGTTGCTTTGGCCATGGTGTCTCTTCACAGCGACAGAACAGTGACTAAGATAGTGGGTGAGTGTTTGCATGTACTGTGTGTGCACCGCGTGTGTGTGTGTGTGTGTGTGTGTGTGTGTGTGTGTGTGTGCAGTGCCTGTGCAGACCAGAAGAGGGCACTGGATCCCCTAGAACTGAAGTTGCAGACAGTTGTGAGGTGCTGTGTGGGTTCTGGGAACCAAACCCTCCTCTGGGAGAGCAGCTGGTGCTCTTCCCTGCAGAGTCATCTCTACAGCTCCTTTGACCCCTTTGACAAACTCTGTTTGTTGGAGGTGACACTCAAGAGAGAAACTAAAGAATGTTTTTTTCTCACTTTATTTTTGTACTTATTTGGACTATAACAGGAGACATAGCTAGGGGTTGAGGTTAAAGATAAAGCAGAGCAAAAGCATCCCTCCCCACCAAGAAAGGGGACACTGGGAGGGGGGGAAACACTAAGACTACCCTGAAAACTTCCACGGTTGGAAGATGGCCACCCTTTAATTATTGCTCTGGTGGATAAAGCTGATAATCTTTGATTTCTGCCGTGGAGTGTCTCCGATTCCCAGAGAGAGACGCCTATGGTAAGTGAGTATGTTGCCCTGCTTTTTGCTCTGGTAGATGATTTGGGCATGGCTAACGACAAAGTAGAGACAGAAGCTGTGTAGGGACGCACGGGACACCCAGCCGAACCAGCGCATGGCTCTGACCAGCGCCACGCTGAAATCATCGGTGAAGATCTGAATGGCCAGGTTGGTGGACTCATAGGTGAAGATCCAGATAGTGTAGACCATGAGACCCCCGTAAATCTGGGCGTACACGGAGTACAGGAGGAAGCAGCTGACCGCCATGGTGATGAGGGACGCGCAGAGGACGATCTTGAAGCTCCAGCAGATGATGAAATGGCTCACCACACTGATGTCCTGGCTCTGGAGGCTGTCCGTGCAGTTGCCGTCCCCAAGGTGCCTCCTTTCAAAGATGAGGTGCATGTGGGTGGCCATGATGGAGAAGACCCCCGACAGCACGGTGCCCATCTTCGCGGTCAGCCCGCACCAGTTCTGCTGCTTCATGCCAGGGCCCCCTGCGGAGACAAGCAACCCTGCGGGAACTCAGTTCCTGTCCATGCGGGAAGCACCAGGCTCTCAGCCTCCATCTCCATCCCCCCCTGGAAACAGAGAGAAGGGAAACGGGAAGTAACTTGCTTTGCCTGGCAAAACATGCTGAACTTGACTGGGGGCGAGGGGTGGGGAGGAGGGTAAAGGGCTTGCAGACGGCCTGAGTTCAGGACCCTAAAACCCCCACAGTGGCCTGTTTCTGTAATCCAGGCCCCTAGGTTGGGAGAGGAGTGCAGTTCACTGGCAGCCAGCCTAGGCAAAGCAGAGACGTTCGGTGGGGGAACCCATTTCTGAGTCACAGAGGAGGACACCTGACATTCTCCACAGCCTGAAGACTGTTCCCAGCTGCTCCAGAAGTGCAAGCCAAGCATGATGTCTTGTGTCCCACAGTGGCCATCCCAGAATTCCACTCTTCAGAGGCCAACTCCCAGGCTGGGCCATAGATAGGGAGGAAAATTCCATTCTCCTGTGGGGGAGGCTTCTGTCAGCATGCAGGGAATTCTTCAAAGCTGAGTGCTCAGGATCCAAACCCAAGCTTGCCAGATTGTCCAAAGAAACAAAAGCCACCACAGCAAGGAAACAGTCACAGTGGATTGACAGGCCCTGACTTTCCTAATCTTCCTCCTTGCTGGCACCAAGGACTCTGTGTGCGTCAAGTGTGCTATGTCAAAGTCTTTATTGGTCTGCCTCTCCCCGAGTGCCTGATGTTAATAACTGACAACACAGACACACACACATACATACACATACAAATACAAACACACACACGAACACGCATACACACACAGCACACGTACACAAACGCACACACAAAGACACATACACACTCAAAACGCATACAAAAGCACACACAACAGACACACACCTACACAAACATATATAAACACAAATACAAACGTGGGCGTGCGCACACACACACACACACACAAATACAAACACACACACAAACAAAACACATGCAAGCACACATGTTTTGTAGAAAAGGTAAGAGCTCACACAGCCAGTAAAACTGCTGGAGCCACATACAGTGCTGTTAGGAAACACGGTGTGGCGGCGTCAATAGTTAGTAAGTAGACATCAGAAACCAGTTAAAGCGCAGCAGTGAAGCCGGGGACCTGGCTCAGCCAGCACGGCGCCTGCCTCGCACACTTGAAATCTAAGGTTCCATCCCCGGCTCTGTATAAAACCATGGTGCACAGTCGGAAACCAGTACCTTGGAGGTGGAGGCAGGAGGACCAGGGGTTCAAGGTCATCTCTGCTGGCACGGTGACTGAAAGGACAGTTTGACTTACAGGAAAACCTACCTCAAAAAAAAAAAAAAAAGAGAGAAAAGAAGATAGGAGCCACTTCGATCAAGAATGGGCTCAGGGCTGGAGCGATGGCTCAGAGGTTAAGAGCACTGGCTGCTCTTCCAGAGGACCCGGGTACAATTCCCAGCACCTACTTGGCGGCTCACAGCTGCCTGTAACGCCAGTTCCAGGGGAATCTGACAGCCTCACGCAGACACACGTGTAGTCGAGACACCACGTACATAAAATAAATGAAAGGGCTGAGCTGAAGGTGAGGCATGGTGGGAGACGGTGCTCGCTGCCAAGCTTGACCACTGAATTTGACCCAAGACTGTGTATACGGCTGGGAGAAAAGACTCCTCAGAGTGGTTCTCTGACCCCCCCACGCCATGACACATGTGTCCCCATTACACAACGTGACGATAATTAATAAAAGTGCAAAGGAAGGAATAAATTGCCACATAGTCCCACGGTGGGGATGTTAAACAGTTGTCAAAATGAACCTGGTGGCAACACGCAGAATCTTAGTCTGATACCCAGTGCCCACAGGGCGGAAGGAGAGAACTGACTGGGAATTTGTCCTCTGACAGTTTCCACAAGGCTGCCACGGCACACGTGTGCGCACAGAACGAATAAAAATGATAAGTTAAAAAAAACCACTCACAGACAACCTTGTGAGGTAAATGAGCAAGTACGTTTGGAAGACTCATCTTCTGTCTTCACGCCAAGGGGCAGCTCCTGTTCACTCTGCACGTTAGCTGCTGTTTGTGAAGCTTTGCGCAGAGATGAGACGCTGTCAGTGTCCCTCTTCCTGCCCAGCTCCCCTTTTGCTGAGAAAGCCTGGTTGTATTCAGGATGGCAAGAAGCCCAGATCCAGGCAAAATATTTGCCTTCCCAAACATTGCCTTGAAGAAAGGCTACCCGTGGACACAGTTCCAGGAGACGAGACACGCATAGAAATGGGTTGGGCACTCTGCCAACATTCTCTTCCTGATGGTGGAGGAGGATGCGGGAGGTACGGTCCTAACATTTTATTTTCTTTCCTTTTTCAAGACTTATTTTAATTTTGTGTGTGTGTAGTGCCCATGGAGTCCAGAGGAGGGCATCAGATCCCTATGTAGACCATGCTGACTTGGAGCTCACAGAGATCCACCTGCCTCTGCCTCCCAAGTGCTGGGATTAAAGGTGTGTGCCACCAACACTTGGCTCTAAGTGCATCTTATTTATTTGTTTTTGAGACAGGTTCTCACTATGTAGCCCTGGTGTCCTGGAGTTCACTATATAGATTAGGCTGGCCTTAAACACACAGAAATCCTCCTGCCTCCCAAGTGCTGGCATTAAAGGCGTGTGCCATTATGCCTGATCTAAGCCTGGAATTTTAAAAAGTATCCATCTAGGTCAGGCAGTGGTGGCACACACCTTTAATCCCAGCACTCAGGAGGCAGAGGCAGGCGATCGCTGTGAGTTCGAGGCCAGGGACCTAGACTCCCCTTTTCTGAATTACGGGCTGCTTTAGTCTCCTTGTGGCACAGCAGTAGGCTTTTCTGGAGAATAACTGTTAGCACCAGCAGGGAAGCAGAAGAGTCTTCTTTCTTTCTTTTCTTTTTTAATTTTATGTGTATGAGCGTTTGTCTGTGTGTATGTATGTGTGTCACCTGCATGCAGTGCCCATGGGAGTCAGAAAAGGGCATCAGTTGGAGCCTGAGGTGTGGTGATATATTAGTTATGGTTTAATAAAGCTTGCCTGAAGGTTCAGAATGCAAAGCTAGCCACAAGCCATAGAGGCCAGGCAATGGTATCACACACCTTTAATCTCAGGATTTGGGAGACAGAGACAGACAGATCTCTGTGAGTTCAAGGACACCCTGAGCTACACAAAATTGATCCAGTCTAAAAGAGAAACAGAGCTCACACAAAGGCGATCTTAGCACTTGGGATGATGCACCTTTAATCCCAGCACTGGAGAGGTGTATAAGAAACCAAGTCAATTTTAGGCAATTAGTCTCACACCACATTGAGGGGAGCATAGCAGTCTGAGTGGATCTGAGGAGCAGTGAAGTCTGGAGCCGTCTGGGACTGCAGTCTGAGGCTTGGTGGGGAGCGGTGCCGTCTGCATATGGCCTCTCAGGATCGCACTCTGAAGGTTCCTGGAGACAGGATCACCCATTTTGGTCTAAGGTAGAGTGAGAGCTGGTGGCTGGCTGCTTTGCTATTCTGATCTTCAGCTTGATGCTTGAACCCCAATATCTGGCCCTGGCTTTTCATTACTTCATGCTACTCTGAGGAACTGGAGTTACGGGCAGTTATGAGCAGCAGGCGCTCTTATACAGAGCCATCTTTCCAGCGCGGTGGTCCCGCTTCTTATAGGCCCCCTGGAGGCTGAGGCCTTGAGTTGCCTTCTCAGCCAAGCTGCCAGCAGCCAGCTGAGCAGGCGGGGAGGGGAGGACACACTGTCCGGGGCAGGACTTGCCACTTCTCCCCATTGCTGCAGGGAAGCCAGGCCACACTTCTCCTTTTGCTCTTCCAGGCAACACTCCTGCTCACCCACACATCCGAATCTCTCCCTTCAAGAGTGGGGATTTTCCCAAACAAGTCCTCTAAGCCTGCAGCGGGAGCACAAAGAGAACCTGCCTGTGGTGCTTTGGCGGTGAACCAGCGGACAAGCAGGGGAGCCACTCCCCCTAGGGAACGAGCAAACAGACAATAAGTGACACTGCTTTATATACACACAGTCCTTGAGGTCAGCCTCCACCCATCACCCCAGGGCCCATTCCTCTCCACGTATGGAAGGTTTCTTTCTCAAGTATCTCTCTTCTCCCCTGGGCTCTTCCCTCCGGGCCTTTTAGATCTCCAGTGGTGTTAGGGCCTTGTGTTGGCCTCCTTTCTGTGGTCACTGTTTGACAGTCAACTTGCCCTCCCACCAGCATTCCAATAGTGCTCCAGAAGCTCTCCTTCATTTCTTCCACAGGAAGTTACACATCTCCCAGAACCCCTGGCACCCCGGAGCCGCAGAACTGCCATGGGCAAATATTAACACCAGTGCTAACAGCCCAGCGCGTTATCCCACCAGTAAGGAGCCCTGTCTTTCCATAAAGAGTACAGATTTTGTTCCATTTACGACTCATTTTCCTTAAATGTGGAGCTCTGTGACAGCGGGCGGGACCTTGACTACTGTGGCGATTGCTCCTTCCACACACGTGGCATTTACGAATCTACGGTTGACCGGAATCGAGTTTACATTTTCAAGTCTCCCTTGCAACTGATGCCTCTGCTATCAAAGTCTCAAAATGATATTCTATTCATTGTGTGTGCATGTGAGTGTTGTGTGTGCGGATGTGAGCATTTCATGGTGGAGGTAAGGGGACATCTTTGGGCGGAGGCTCTCTCCTTCTAACTTTATGAGGGTCCCAGGAACCAAGATTGGACCTTCAGCCATCTTGCTTGGTTTTTGACGCCCCGAGCAGTCTGGGTTTACCATGAATTCATTATGACTTTGAACTCCTGATCGCTCTGCTGCTACCTCCAGTGCTGAAGTCGCAGGCAGGGGCGGCTGCGCCTGGCTGTATGCTGTCAGTTTGTAAGAGAGGACTGAAAGCGGACAGACTAAGGCAACTGCCCAGTTCCTCCTCATCCAGATGGCTCAAATGTGCCTGTGGTAGGCCACTGCTTCTACAGGGCCCAGTGCAGTGTCGTAGGCCACCCAGCTTGTCATTTTTTCTTCCTTCCTTCCTTCCTTCCTTCCTTCCTTCCTTCCTTCCTTCCTTCCTTCCTTCCTTCCTTCCTTTCTGTCTTCCTTTCTTTCTTTCTTTCTTTCTTTCTTTCTTTCTTTCTTCCTTTCTTTCTTCCTTCCTTCCTTCCTTCCTTCCTTCCTTCTTTCCTTCCTTCCTTTCTTCTTTTTTTTCAAGACAGACTTTCTCTGTGTAACAGCCTTGGCTGTACTGGAACTCACTTTGTAGACCAGACTAGCCTCAAACTCACAGAGGTTTGCATGCCTCGGCTTCCCAAGTGCCGGGAAGAAAGGCAGGTACCAATACACCAGGTTCTATGCCCAACTTCTCAAAGGAGACTTTAAAAGCCAGAAGGGTCTAGACATATGTGCTGCAGATTCTGAGAGACCACAGATGCCAACCCAGACTACTATACCCAGCAAAATTTTCAACTGCAGCAGATGGAGAAA